TATATATATATATATATATAAATAAAGCAACACTCCAATAAATTGATATTGACCTTACCAATATGCACAATATTTGAGTTAATTATCTACTTATATAAACACTCGTTTTAGGAGATGTTTTAGTTTAGTCGAGCAACGTTTTCTACAGCACTTGTACTATTGGCCTAACTAGTCGTTCGAAAATACCTCGTGCGTTTCGTTTGCTAAACTCCAAGCCATCCATCCATCCACACCCGTGTTCCTTCATAGACTGCACGAAGCTGGAAGATGGCTTGATCAGATTGATTCGAGCAAGTGCAAAAATGGCGTACATATTTTTTATTTCGTCCCCAAAATTCGATAAATCCTGTAAAAATCTTTACATATCCCGAAATTGAGACAGATTATTTAGTTTAGCGTGAAACATCAACAAACGCGTGGATTTTACACTTGTCTAGGCGTGACCTTATGGTTAGCGTGCTGTGAGTCGGAAGATCCAAGGTTCGAGACCGCGATTTATCTCTAAGAACGATAATCACTCTCAGTTGTGAGTTTGTTATAAAAGTGACATTGTGAAAGCGATAGGTGCGTCTAACTGGTTGCCCTCTCTCTGGTCATTACCTCAAAATTAAGGACAACAATTAATAAACCTTGGATTATTTGACACGACCGCATAAAGTGTCGTTCAGTTTCAAAATACCGGATACCTAATATTCCTATTAAGTCGGGCCGGGTTAGTGGTCTAGTGGTTAGCATTCTCGGTCTGTGAATCCGATGGTCTATGGTTCAGGGCTCGTTGTCGCAACAAATACCCCTGCACATTGGAGCCCTGATTGCGCTATATGATTGACGGTCAAATCCCTCTGTTCGGTCAAACAAAAATATCCAAAGAGTTGGCGGTAGGTACTTTTAACTATCTACCTTCGCTTTAGTCTATCAGCTCAAAATTAAGGATAGCTATATGTGTACCCATGTGAGAAACTTATGAACTTCCTTTAAACATTAACACACAGAGGCCATTAAAAGGGCAGGGGCTCACTGACAAAAAAAATCACTTTTCAAGCATCGTAAGGAATTTTTTTGGGGGGTGACAGGGGAAACTATTAAGACTGTGGGCTGTCTTGTGTTACCCATGGGGTAGAAACTCATGGGAAGCACACAAATTATCTTTTATTCCTATTCAATTGGTTTTCTAAAAGCTTTTAAACTCTAAAACTAAGTAGTTCATTCTTCCATATTAACACGTAATAGTATATCACAACTAATTGTTTGCTGTAAAGACCAACAAGTAACTGTGTTCCATTCATTTCAAAGCTGATTTTTTCCCAAATAACTCGCAGCAAAGAAGGTGTGGAATAAGCTCTATGTTTTAGTAGCATAGAAGGTGTGGAATAAGCCCTATGTTTTAGTAGCATAGAAGGTGTGGAATAAGCCCTATGTTTTAGTAGCATAGAAGGTGTGGAATAAGCTCTATGTTTTAGTAGCATAGAAGGTGTGGAATAAGCCCTATGTTTTAGTAGTTGTGGACAATTTTTTATGAATGAGAGTTTGTTTGTTTGATTGTAATTAAGCACAAAGCTACACAATGGGCTATCTGTGCTCTGCCCACCACGGGTATCGAAACCCGGATTCTGGCGTTGTAAGTCCGCAGACATACCGCTGTGCCACTGGGGGGCACGGATGAGAGAAAGGGAACTTTTGGTGCACAAGAAGAGAAAGGTGGGGCTTGAGCCCACATAGTAGTTACCCATTCCCCTATATACGTCACTAAAGTTAAGGCTACCGAAAAGTTTGTTTGTTTGTTTGTTTTAAATTTCGCGCTAGCCGTCCCTAATTTATCAGTTTAAGACTAGAGGGAAGACAGCTAGTCATCACCACCCACCGCCAACTCTTGAGCTACTCTTTTACCAACGAATAGTGGAATTCACCGTCACATTATATCGCTCCCACGGTTGAAAGGGTGAACACGTTTGGTGAGACGGGGATTCGTACCCGCGACTCTCAGATTGCGAGTCAAGCGCCCTAACCACCAGGCCATGCCGGGCCTCCTGGCGAAAAGATAAATCCTTAATACCAAAAATGGTCGTAAACTTCGTTAAACTGTACTCATTTTGATTTCCCTATAAGTGTTTTGAAAATATTTCGTTCAATGATTAACTAAAATCCGGTGTTCGATTCCCCGCGGTGAACACAGCAGTGTGGCTTTGCCCTAAAATAAACAAACAAACGTACAGTATATACTACATTACAGATAAATATATGTAACTTAAATCAAATTAGCAAGATTTTTAAACAAGGGGCGTTATTGTAAACGGGATAGGGGCGACACCCCCCTCGATGGGGCAAGTGGCAGTTTCTGTTAGCAAAGTTAGCCTTGTTCCCCCCTCCCCCCACGCTGGTTTAAATGTTCTTCTATTAACTTGCTAGGCTTAAACGCTTGTTAACAATCCAATACAAAATCTATAACTAGAAATAATACATTCAAATGTTAAACACATAAACTATTTATTTGGAATGATAATAGAAAAAAGAAACGAGGCTTACGTGAAAGTTGAAGACTTCTACTAAAATATAGCGTGTACGATAAAATCAAATTAAATATTTCAAAGCAAAAACTTATTTTATATTTCAACTTTATTAGATGACATTGTAAAGGCGAAATTTCTCCATTTTAGATTTATTACATTTACATCGGGACTAGAAAATGACACATTGTTTTCATGGATTGAAATGAAAGCTATTCACGTGCTGATCAATTTGCTTGAGTACAGGGGAGAGATCCAAAACTGGAATACGTTTTCTTTCGGGGCTCAGCTGACTGTAGAGAAAAGTATCTTTCCTCATATAGAACTGTATAATCAGAACTGTAGCAACTATATTGTTTTCTGTACATTGTATAACCATTTTACAATTAATGATAATGGAGGTTTTCTTAGAACACTCCCCCTCCTCCTTCTCCCCCCCCCCCAAAAGTCAGTTCTCAAGTTATGTCAGATTCCCACATTTCCGAATCTGGAAAAACTGTTTGTAAGCTTCATGTGTGTCAGTGGTAAGTTTACGGACTTATTTCTCTAAAAACCGAGGTTCGATTCCTCGCGGTTAAGAGCGCAGATAGCCTGTTATGTGGCTTTATGTATAGAAAAGCATTTGTTCTCTCTGTTTTGTATTTCCTGTTATCTATATTGATCTTTAGATTGTGATGAATAACAACGTTCTATACAAACTTATCTTTCTACTATAGATAATCTTTCATAACTGAATCGGCTTTTATCATTTGAAATTATTGTTTGTTTGCTCAGTTCCATTATTCTAACCTTTTAATTTGGGTTTCTAGTTCTATAAAAATTCTTTGTAATTTTCTATTAGTTCAGCAGTGCATTTCCAACATCACATCACGATAAGGGCGTTTCATTCAGCAACGGTTAATCTTAGATAATAACAGTGTTTCGCTAACTTTCTACTTTCAGCCGGGAAGTATCCAGTATCTGAACTTAACTTTTTATTTATTTATTTATTTTCAAACAACAATGGCATATACATAAGTTCACAAACCGAACATTTTCAAGCACCATCTTTGTATCTGTCATACAGTTGCGGTCCATGCCAGAATAGATAGGGCGTGGTTTAGAGATTAGCGTATCCGGCTGCGGGACGAACGGTCGGGGGTACGAGACGTGATGCCGCTGAGCGTGTTCCGTTGTGGGCGCGTTATAAAAGTAATAATCTACCCCGTTATCCGGCTCAGAGTGCCGGATAAATCCCCTGTATCAGTTGACTAAGTTGTCCTCCAGTCTGGTGAGT